TATCGTTGTACAGTGTGGCCCACTGAAAATAGTAAATGCTAATTTTGCCAACTTAACGGCAGTTTTGCCAGAAACGCTCGAACACATCAATTTTAGTGTTGAGGGGGACACCTAAATTAAGTAAGACTGCTTACATAACTTTAACCCTGAGAAGGGGGTGAATTGCACCCCAAAAAGTGTAAATGGGAAGGTGTAGTAAATGTTGATAAGTCGAAAATAATGTTCATTATGTTTTCAGAACTGTTTTTATTTTTCAAATCCGATCAATAGTTCCAGAGAAAACTCGATTTAAATGGATTTGCAGAGCCGTTTTAAATGTTTATTAAGTAGGCGTTGAAGTTGAAATAATTGAGAGCTTATGTCAGAAAAGAACATCTGACATAAGTGTCCCTACTAAGTGCACCAGCAAGGAAGTGAAGGCAGAATCGCCATTTAAAAAAAAACGAAAAATTTCCACCCTTTGCGCTATAGTGTAAACCGTCATTGTTTTTGAATTTACCACAAAATTAAACAACACACTCCCACCTGCACGTCTTTGGTTAGTGGTTACTTGGTAATATGATGCAGCACATGCGGCAAACACTCCTTGGCCTGCTCCTTAGTCAAAGAATTTATAATGCTTCTGTCTGTCAATTTGCACACCACGAACTCAGAACACTTATAAATACTGAAGCTTTTACAGTTAAAAATTAATGCGTATCGTCATTGGTGGTTAGGGTGGATTACAAAAAATCTACAAGAAAATTATTAAAACAGTAGATAACTCGAGCCCGTGTTTTTAGAAATATGAAAACCCTCAATATTTAAGTGGAAGTTAGCGGAAAACTCGCGTAGGTTCATTAAAATAAATATAAAAAGGATCTAGAAAAATCACGAATCGTTAGACAGGCTGAAAGCTTCAATTTGAAAGTCTAACGCCGAAACATAGACATTCAAGAACCTAATCCTACTGTCCATCGTAGGGAATACTGAAAGAGAAGAAGGGAAGTAAGTAGCTAAGACCACCGCAGAGAAACGAATCATTAAAACTAAAACGGACAAAGCTGGGATTTAAACAGTTGCTTTGTTGTGTACCTACTAAACGAATTTTATCTTGACATATATCGAAAACGCCTCTATTCAACTGAAAAGTCAACCCTAATGATGCATTCTTTGCCCTTTTTCCCGTGCAACTCACGGCGATTACGACTACATAGCTTTCAATCTGTAAAACCTCCTGAAAATTACGGAAACTCATCCAAGTAATACCTACTTTAAATGAACTAAGGCTCTTAGCAATATGCATCCACTAACCGTTTCATTAATTAGCCCCTTTGTGAATTAGACGAGAATGATGTACCTACTACTGCAATTAATTTAATTCGCTGATGCATTACCTCTGCATCTACATGTTACGCTTTGATCATCCATTCTGGTTCGTGAAGTAGCTAGAGTGCCTAGTAGTTTTATATAAATCATTTGAATTGTTACACGCTTATATATCATACTACTGGGCGAAAAAATGTCTAATATTTGTGGGAATTCGTCGACTTTAGTGGGTTTCGACGCACTTTGCGCTTGGAGGACCTTTCTATAGCACTATTCTACCCCATTCACATTTTTTTAGGTTTTTTTAGGACAATGATAGAAGTTACAGAGCATTCTCGACTTTGACATTCTATTGTAAAACCTTTTAGGAGAAATCGCCACCTAAAGTATTCTCTAGGCCCCCTGATTACAGTGTGCCTCGCCAAACTTACGCGTCAATAGTGTAACGGGGTTGCCCTATACAGAAATTTGAAAGAAGAAAATTAGAGTTTCCTAGAAAATGTCATTGATATCCATCTTAATGTTTAATTTCTTTGATAACTAGTGGTGGGTATTGTTACGAAACTGTTTCAACTACGATAAGGCTCTCATCATCAAACTAGAAAGTAGGATAGAGAACTGTCCAACAAATCACATTATACCATTTTGCAAATAACTATAAATTAGTTATAAAACTACCCAAACTAATGTGATAATGGTAAGTCAGTCCATCTTGAACTTCAGAACAGAAGAAATCGCGAACTTATAACCTGTAACCGGTGGTGGAAGATATTAATGAGTAGTAATAAAACGTTGTTTAATTCGTAACATTTATGCTTTTTTTATTCGACATCACAAGAAGACAGCAGCAGTGCAAAATTTGGTGGTTCCGCCGGCAGCCAGAATAAAATGAATACATGTATTAAAGTGGAACCACATAAGAATAAAGTTACCTAAGATAATAGTTATTTATTATACCAGACGATAAAGTGATATTTTAACAATTGAGTGAATTAGCTTTGACGAGATGGTCTTGTATAATGTATAATACAAAGCTTTATTTTATAGCAGAAGCCATACAAATCATTGTCATTGCTTCTGACAATTCTGAATTTAATTTAGACGTAAAAATAACAAGCTTAGGATTCTCCGTCGCAGTCGTTTCCATACAAACAGCATTGCATTATGTTCCGAACTTCATTTTATTTCGTGCTCCGCGTCTCATTTGAAATAAAAATTACAGATATCATTGGAATGCATGGTCATCTGTTTCACCTTAACTATCCTTACGGTTAAAAAGCCGCTTAGCTCATTCAAAGCTTTAAAAATGTCAATTTAACAGCGAATTTGTGAAGGCAGAATCGCCATTTAAAAAAAATCGAAACAATTTCCCCCCTTTGCACTAAAGTGTATGTAGTATATGTTTTTGAATTTACCACAAATTAAACAAGTTAATTTAACACAACGCACAAATTCGCTTCATTGCTTGTGCACTTATTGCATTTATATCAGATGTTCTTTTCTGACACAAGCTCTCAATTATTTCAACTTCAAACGTCTCAGCAAATCGATTTAAATCGAGCTCTGGAACTACTGATCGGATTTGAAAAATAAAAACAGTTCTGAAAACATAATGAACATTTCTTTCGACCTATCTCACATTTACTACCCCTTCCCATTTAAAATTTTTGGAGTGCAATTCGTCCCCTTCTCAGAGTTAAAGTTATGTACCTAAGTAGTATTACTTAATTTAGTTGTCCCCCTCAAAACTAAAATTGACGTGTTCGAGCGTTTCTGGTTAAACTGTCATCAAGTGGGCAAAATTGGCATTGATTGTTTTCAGTGGGCCACCCTGTATATTAATTAAAGAATGAATAGTATCTTTTGCATAGGTAATCATTGCAACTAAATCAATTGCATTTATTTCAGAATGCTAATCCTTTCTTCTGTTTCCTTCACAATGATTGCCAGTATTAAAATTTTGTTCAGTGGATTTCAAACCAGCTCGCCTACTGTTATGTAAGATTCTGCATGAGGTAAATGAAGTGAGTCATTGCAATGAAATGACAGCGAATTAGGGATTTAAACGATTCGTCATAGTGCTTACGCAGTCCATAGATAATGCGAGTTTACCTATCAAACAGCAAGAAAAACGCATTCGTTCACGGGCGGTCTCGGACGGCGAATATCCGCCAGTCATAATCGCAGAGTGTGTAGCGCGTTCATCCGCTAGGGTGGTTTCTGAGGAACGAAGATCAATCCAAGAGCGAGAAACCATCTCCATAGAGCCACCGTCACATTACAAACGAGGATTTTCGCAGCATTTCCAAAAAAGGAAAAGTGAAAATTGAAAATTTCTACAGCGGAATTTCCGTGTGCGCTTACCCATATCAAAGTCCCGAGGGCGGAAACAAACCATTCCACCACGAAGCAGCGACCAAAAAAGCATCTGGAGAACTGCTAGTGCATAAACAATAAAGGTATTTATGAACAATTGTTCTTTGGCGTTTTTCGTCGGTATTTTCCTCATTGTATATTTGAACTAGCGTCGTAGTATAATAATAAAAAAAAAAGATTGATGAAAATTTGTGGTAGTACGAGTATTATTAGTATTATAAGGCGATTACATTTATTGTAGACACCATTTGCGCGTAAAGCTTTAGACTCGCCCTTGGATATTCTTAACATATTTACGTACCGAATGAATGTGGGGTAACCATTTACTTTACAAGGTTGTTTGGCCTCGAACCCCCATTTACTAACATTGTATTCTCTCTCTATTTTCAAGAAAATGAGAATCATTTCACAATTTAATAAAAATTATTATTTATACCGCTAATTTTTCCTTGAGAGGCCAAGAGAGGGTAATTAGCCGAGGAACAGCCGAGACATATTATTATAACTACATAACGAGAACCACCCCTAATTTAACTAACCAGAAGAAGTAAAATTTGTAACATCGGTTGCACGAACGGCCCCTCGAAGATGTAAGAATTTTGGCAATCTTAAGAATCGGGAATATTCGAAAAAAATGGAAATTGAATCAGTAAAGATTCTGAAACTTATAGGCGTTGAGCCAGAGGGCAAGTGCGGTTTCCTTTCTGGGGAGTAAGTGTAACCTACAAATTTAAATTCGTTATGAAGGTAGAAGACATGTTTGGTGTGATACTTCGTAAAATTCGGTAGCTTAGTGACGTTATGACGTCACAAATATGGCCACCGGGCGAAAATCTTAGTTAAGCATTCTAATCTCTAAAATTCCGATACGTTTTCAGCGCTAAAGTTGGCCATTTTTACCACCCGCGCGTTAGTAAGGGAGGTTTTCCATTGGGGTAACAAATGACCCCTCATTTTTTTACGGAAATACACGTTTTGAAGCACCAGGAATCCGAATCCAACAAAATCTCGATGATGTCGATTTGTGTGTACTCTCATTTCCGGGTAAATGGTTTAACCGATTGGAACCAAATTTGATCCACATATTCTTAGACATAAAAGGGCAGAATCGCAGGTGTACTGGTGCTTTTACCACAATTAGTACTATGGATCGGTATAATTCTTTGGAACCAGCAACGCACAGACATATTTATCGTTTGGTTAGCCTTTCAAACCAACAAGGAAACTTAGTAAGGTGCTGATTCATGTCCTACATGGCGTGATGAAAGCGATTTTAACCTGATTAGATAATGGATGCCCACTCAAAGTGATATAAATAGATTTTTAAACAATGGTTATTATTCAACGCTGTTACAACTTAGAACTCAAAATCTCTCTACTTTTTACATGAATTGCTAAAACTCTATCTTCGCCATTGAAATCGATTGTAACAAGCGCAGTACCATCTACTCTAACATGCACGGTTTTCCCAGTACAGCGTCCATTACTACCAACGTTACCGCTGATGACATCGCAGTATACACCCTCTGGTAGACAAGTCTGCAGTTGCTGGTTTAAGCTGTTCCAATTAGTAAAAGCGATGAATCCCTTGTTTCCGCGACAGAATGCTATTTGCTGATCTCCATTGGACCACCAATTGTTGACACCCGTTTCGCGGACTACATTCTTGAACACCACCATGTTGTATATTTGCCTCCAGCGATGTTCGCAAACCCATCCGCCTCCGCAAGTGTCATCAGCATTTATCGTCGGTGAAACAATGTTCCCATAACCGTCGAGGGGTGGACCTAGAATTACGATCTAGCGCATCAGCCTCTCTAACAACGAAAGTGTACCTTGGTCGTTATGATTAAACGCGAAACTGGACATCACTCGGGTAACTCCATAGGGGTAGGCCAACATGAAGGCGATCGCCATTTTGTAACGTTGCGGATCTTTGTACGTAAGAATATTCGAAGTCCTCTGGTTATCATGGTTATCAACAAAAATGAAGGCGTCGGAACTCGGCAGGAAACCCCAACGCTCACCCCAGCCAGACAAGTACGTCAGTTTATCGTTACCTTTGAACACGCGGCTAATTTCATTGCTATGCTTGAATTCCGTCACGGCACCAAGACCGTTATACTCGTACTTGGAGACCGCTTCTCCGCCCGAATCAATAACCTCCTGGTATATAAATGGTTTGCTATCCTTGCGAAACCCAAACTGGGTATTCAGGTTTTTCAGATTGGAATAAATGTATTGCAAGTCGGCCGGCCACATATGCTTAGCGGCGTCTACGCGAAAACCTGCCACCCCTAAGTCGACCAAGCGATTGAGGAATGTCAAAATCTTCTTCCTCACGTAATCCTTACCCTGAAACGTTCTCGGTTGGTTTTGATCGGGAAGGTTTCGAATTTACCTGATTAAGATCGCTTAATCCCACCAGGTAGCAGTTTCTAACTCTGCCTGCGTCGTGCTGATAGTCGCCTCCTTCTATTGAGCAACGTTCGTGAAAGTCCCAGCTACTGTACGGAACTGCGGGATAAGCCAAATTCGCAGGATTGCCAGTGTTTCCCGCGCTACCTTGTTGCTGTTGGGTACCACCGGACATGTGATTAATAACGGCGTCCACGTAAATTCTGACCCCGACGGAATTGCATCGCCGAACCATGCTCGCGAATTCGGACTCATTACCTGATCGCGAGGTCAGCTCGTAGCTGATGGGCTGGTAGCGATCCCACCACGGATGTTCGGGTAGCACCAAGTGTTCGTTAGGCGGCGAAACCTACGTCAACGCTTAACAACAGGAATGTGGTTGTTTGGTGCTCACCTGTACGCCGGCATACCCTTTGTGTTGCAAAAACCGTTCGCATTCGTCGGCGATGTCAGACCATTTCCATTCGAAGAGATGTACGATGGTGTTACGATCACTCCACCAGTGTGGATTTTTCTGCGTAAGGCTACGATGCGTTGTCACAAGCAAAATGACTGCAATTAGCGTATAGTTCATGGTGGTTGTCGAATGTAGCGTTATCAATCCAGTTTCTCCTTTATGTATGTACAATAAGTTCAAAGTCCGCACTTACGCTATTATCAGTCTTTGATAAACCAGATATTTTGATAAAACACTTGAAATTCTGCAACAGTATGACATAGCAGTAGCCAATGGTATAGACATATCTGCATGGTTGTTTATACCCAAAGTAATTGATGCTATTTAATGCTATGTGAAGCTAAACTGCACATTGGAGAATGTGCTAATATCGATAGTGGAAATATATGCGAAGATATCCCTATCATTAATCATCCACTTATAGGAAATTTGAAACAAACAGGTTAATTTTGTACAGCACAAAGTAAGTGTATTTCTAATTACTTTAACTATTACACTGGACCTTATTTCCCTTTTCTGTGGAATTTGCACACAGTTAATACACAGTTAAGACAGCCGTGAAACGTCCACTTCCGTTGGTTCTCTTTTGCATAGCCGACTGACGAGAAATAGATAAAAATGACTGCTTTCGATTGGTGGAAAAGGGACGCGGGCGGCGAAGTTTGCGTTAGTTCCGTTTTGGCATAGTAACTAAGTCTGGAAAAGTAAAACGTTTTCTTTGGAGAATACCTAAACAATTCATTTGCGTACGCGAGGTTTCTATTTTGAGGAAAACTTATAGCAGTTTGTATCGAGCCTCCCGCCTCCCGAGGTTGATTATTAGTTTAATAAATTAGAACTTAAAACCTACCTGCTCTGGTGGTTGCAGTGGAGATTTCGAACAATGCATCCCTCATACTCAACACATACATCTATTAATTTATATGTTATTGAAATACATGATTCTAACTGGGCAGTCCACAAAATAACAGGAGGTAAAGCGATAGAAACCAATAGGACCTAGTTAGAGAATTGCATAGACTTTCAAAATATCTACCACAAGACAACTGCAATTGTTCAGGGACTACCCGATTAATGGGATCAAATTTAAAGCTTGAGCATAGAATTGGACGTGTGGGAAACTGACTAAGGGGTGAATATTTTACTGGAAGCATCCTGTAGAGGAAATAGAACGGGTAGTAAGAATGTCAAAAAATTGGATGGTAGAATGAACAGAACAAGCATTTCTTTCAAATAATTTTGGGTTTTGTTTGAAAACTACGCTCCCAACAGTCCTAATTTTCTTTTTCTTCCTGTTTGGCAACCATAAGTCATGAAAGAATTGGACTATGGATTTGGCCAGATATATTCTTTTCCCATTCCCCACGCGTTTCTAAAATTGTAACATCTAGTGCCACCATTTTGCTCCAAAACTGCGCGCCCCTAGAAATTTGAAATTTGGAAAAATCTAACCATACTTCTTGACCTGATGAAAAAAAAATTGTTGTATGCATTTGGTGCATTTAAGAACAGAATAGCTAAGTCGCTTATCCGTACCACTTTAAAAAGATATATGCAAATTCTGTCTGGGGAAGGTCTAAGGAAGTCTCGTAGGCACTTGTGGCCCCTAAAATAATGTCCAAATCAAGTTCGATATTTTGTCATTTCGGACCTTATTTGGATTGGAAATTTTTGGAAAATCCGAAAGTATGCGCCCTAAAACCCAGGTACATAATGATTTATCCTTAGTAGCTTTTAAGATTGCAAAACAAACTCCTTGGTGGTGTACAAGGTGTTTGAACTACAACTTAGACCTCATAATAGACTAATTTTAGGAAATGGGATCAAACTGGGTCTCACTTTCGAACCTTGCATGAATTTTCCTTGGGGACGAATCTTCCTATTAAGAATCGCCATGTGGTTAAGTGTCCGTAAAATTGGTTATCATTGAGTTCCATATACGCTACGCAATGACCTGTAACGAGTTCCGGAAATCTGTGGTGCCAGTCTGTTTAGAATTGAGGGGAAAAATTGCACATTTGAACGAGTGTAGGATTTTGAGCTAGGACCTCTCCGGTAATTCGTTAAAGGAAACAAATCAAATTCATTCTTGATAAAAAATGGTCGATTTCATTATAATAATAATAATAATAATAATGTTTATTTAGTAAAAAACAATTTTACATTGTAATACATCGTCACAAACAATACATTTACGAGGTGGAGGATTAATAAAGCATAATAATTATAAATAATTAAAAAAGATCTCTAAGGATTAATCCGGAGGAGATTTTTTAGAGGCATTCGGTTTTGAGCTCAGTGCGAATAATCAAATCGAGCAATAGGCGTACGGGTTACAGCGGAGGTTCTTCTGCAAATAAAGTTGACAATTTTCTTTGTTTTTTTCAACACAAGATTTCAACAAGAAAACTGTATTATTAAAAATTACTCAAATGTCGTTGGCCAGCCCCTATTAATTTTTTACCAAAACTTTACCTCCCAATCACTCCTCTTACTTACGTAAGGGATTTTCCTTTAGTTATCTGAAAAATTGGATACAAATTGGTTCAATTTCTTTTCACTCTCCAGCAAAATAACAACACCAAAATGCCATATATTGAGGAAAAATCAGAAAATGCCAAATATTGTTCAAATGTGCATCTCCTTTTTTAAATTGTCATTTACTAATCGATCTGCCTGTCACAACTTAGGTATTAAAAGTTACTGTGAAATGGCCATCTCATTTCATACTTCTAAATAACTTAATTGCTTGAAATTTAATTTCGTTTGATTCAACAAGTACGTTTACACCTTATCCACATCTTAATTTGAAATTACCGCGACAAATTATGTAATAAACAAACCCTTGAACTTGGTCTCATTCGATATAAAATTCATGGAATCATTTCCTTAACACTAAGTTCAGTGGTTTCTTTCTATTGCCAAAAAATTTAAGATGCAGAATTTTACACTTTTTTAAACCCTTAAAGATCCGTCATTTAAATTAATGTAAAAGTAAATTTGGTTAAATAATTAAATACAACTAACCTTTATTCACAATTCTTTTTGAATACGGGCGCTCTGAAATTCTTACTGCTAATTTTTTACTCTTCAATTTGGGGTTGATATCAGACATTTTCTGAAGAACTGCGTACTTAAAACCACCGATATGGGAAATCTCCCGATTCTCTGGGGAGAAATTGAAGATTGAATGGACAATGTTGGCCTGCTGCCACTGATTTATTTGCTGGGCAATTAATCTTGGAACAAAAATGCGTTTTGCTTACGCATTCACATTAACCTTATTTTATTACAGTATAGGTAATCTGGTAATTTGGACCAATCTCTTAGGTAAGCGATTGAACCAAATTGCTCTTTATATTAGCTGAACTAACAATGAAATGACAGTTTTCTTTGTTGTAATTCCGCGCTTCGAATGATTCAACTACTACTCCTCCCCTGCTCGATTACGCTGCACAAATACGAGGTAAAGTTTCCCCGGATACTGCACGGTTACGAGCTTTTCGGACTCATACAGTTAAGTACACCTTTTGGCCTAATTTTTAACGAATTCTATTCTTGTGACTTGACACTCATTAGCAAACTCGCGGTTTCGAAACTTATACGCCCGTTTAAACTGAATAGTGAACGGAACGACTTGTCCGCTTTTTTTTAAACTAAATCAATTGTGACACTTTTGAATTTTCCAAATCCACATAAACCGACTCCTAGGCGCCGTACTTTTTATCGTCGAATGGTAAACGCAATTTTTCCCAACGAAAGACATCAGAATTTAGTTTCTAATTTTATTTGTTTTACTCAATGCGAATTTCCTTGTAAATGGGTTCAAATTGATTAGTCGTAAGGTGTATCTTATTCAAATAAGGGTAATTGTGAAGGAGCGTGCGCATGATTTAGTGTAGGGATATAATTATATCTCGGATATAACGTATAACGTGGATAGGGGTGCTAAAATTAACGAATGCACAATAATTTGTTATAAAACATATATTTAAAATGAAAGACAGTAAACAAGACAGTACAAGTTTACCAACTAATAAACAAATAATGAGCACAGGTACATCCCACCGAATAAATTTTTCTTAATTACTTATTTCAGGGCAGAGACGCAATACTTCTCCGTTTCGTCAAAGCTTTGACTTTAAACTGCTTCTATAAGATGATATTTCCATCCCCCAATTCGGTTCCGAAAATACACAGGCATACTGAAGAAGGGCGGATTCCATACGATCGTATATCTACAAAAAAAAAGGCGTAAAGGGCACCTGCACCATTTCAATTACCTGTCCTTCGGGATGGCCCAAAATGGAGAGTTCCAATACGTCTGGTAAAGCGATGACATTCACCAACGCACTTTGATCACTTTGCAATTCTTTGCAGAGCATCAACGTGGAGTCCTCCACGTATTGGCCAAATGTTGGACCATTGGCGTATCGGCCTTCGTAAAACAAATGTACGTATTTGTGCAAGTTCCAAACTGCGTATAACGAGAGTAGCTTATTCAAAACGTTCCGAGTTCGCTCATCGTGTACTTCTTGCACTTTTGTGTCCATCGTTTGTATGGCGCAATTCTTTAAAACGAACAAGTCGAGATCGTTCCCATGTTTAGGAATAGTTACCTCGATAAACGCGAATGCCAAGCTCTTGCAATGATAGATCTGGTTCTCGTTCTTTGCCCAAAAGCTTCCCAAATTGTCACCTTTCAAAAGGCGCTGTTGCCTGTCGTGAGTTTTTTTCAACAAGTAAGCAACCAACCACCTGTACACCTGTTGTAAGTCTGAAAATGTTGAACTTTTGACAAGTGGCACTGTCGCTGAAATAGGTACTCACTGTTAACATTTGTAAACTCTTGAATGGTCGTGCTGTTAAACTTTGATTCCAATATGTTTCTGTCTAAAAATGAGATTGCTGCCAATGAACATTTGGGCACTTGCCCTTTTAACATTAAGGACCACAACTTCAGAAGCCAGTTGGCTGTTTGCTGTATTAAAACATTGTTGTCGCCCTCGTAAGTGCAATTTGCGTCGTGTCGTCCTCTAAGCTTGTCAAGCTCTGTCGCTAAAAACCTTAGGGACTCATCAGCCGTTCAACATGTTCGGTAGGTACCTCTGTGAAAGCCAAGCGAGCGGCAAGCTTCTATGGCTTTTTGTATACCATCCCGCGCAACCCAACTAAAAACCGGTTTAGACGCAGACGACACTGCATGCATTTCCATTCCCATAGCAGCTAAGTCACCTTCACCTTTTTGGGCCATAGTCATAAATTTGAGTTGGTAATGGAAAAGAGTTCGAGCAAAAATATTGGAAACGTAAACCACTGCCAAGTAGGGCATCAAGTCATAGTTCTACAACAGATACTGGATTTGCAAATATTACACTCGATATGCATTACCACGGAAGTTGGAATTTTGGGCTCATTTTCCAGGTACCTCAAAGCGAATACCAGACTCTGTGAAAGGTTAACAACACAAGTCAACGTAATGCCAATTCGACCATTCGACAGAACTCCCAGTGAGGTTGTATTCTGTTTACGTAAGTTAGCAATCTGACGGACGTACTTCCCCTCGTCATTAACATCACCCACACGGTTCAGTAGGTTCTCCTTTGGGATACGATAGTTATTAAACATCATGATACTGAAATGCATGTAAGTAGTTAAACATATGCAATTTCTGAATGGATTGGAAAATTTGGCCAAGATGATTCGTTTAGACTTCAACTAGACCTAGCTGAAATATAGCAATTATTGAAGTGACTTACCCATTATCAATTCCTTGCAGACCAGTCTTCTCTCCCATCTCTGCTATGGTTATTCCTGGATATGGTAGAAGTGTACGTCCATCCCTTATTGGCACAACGAACCCATGTAAGCCATAAACACCTTCACCAGGTATAATAAGCTGGGCGTAAAGTATTACGTGCGTCGCGAATTTGCCTAAAATTAAAGAAAGGGTATTTTAAGCTGTGGACTAACACAGTTTACGTTAAGAAATGAAAATATGGTTTTTTTCAGAACTGTCTTCATATTGTTCTTTGTTTAATTTCTGACGTGACCCTAATCGTTGACCAAAGTTAGGGATTCCATAACTTAGTAATTAATATATTACAAAAAACTCAAAAGTCACTAATTTATTATGATTATTCCAATTCATTTCTCTTTACTTTTCGAAACCGATGAATACGTAACATGGCAACATAGATCAAAAAAACTTGGTAAATTACATATTACACTTAGCTGCAACTAATACAGATGAAGGGGAGCATGAAATCATTAAATACGTACAGAAAAAGGTAATAAACTACAACCCACTTAACGACATAACGAACTATTTAGGTACCTATTAACCTGAACTTCAAAATGGCGGACAACCATAACAATCATGAGCAAGCCATCATTTCCATCAAGCCAAGGTCTTGCTGCGGATGAAGATTTTCGGAACATTTCTGAGAAGAAAACAAGATTCAAGGGTTTCAAGGCAAGGATTCTGTAACCGGTCCGTGCATAAAGCCGCGGGAGGTTTACACAACTTTACAACAATTCGTGCAAGATTTCTTTATTTATTTAACCACAGATTTCATCAGGTTATGGGCCCAGTAAATTATTCAAGTTTCCACTAGTGAAATCCTTGTTCCGTGTTGGTTCTTCCTCCCACACTATATCTCAAGGGTTGCTCCACTGTTCTGACTGGTTTTCCCAATTATTCACTTAGTTTTTCATGTTCCATTACTTCGTTCCCATGGTATTACCGAACTATGGTGGAAACATGGTTTATTACTCTATTAACATACAAAACAGCGCGGCCCTTGCGACAACAACGAATATACGGGGCAAATAATGTAGATTACGAAAAGTACCAGAGCTCTATTTTGCATTATTTAGTATAGGCAAAATGACGTCTTTGACACATATCCTGCACGTTAAGTTCTCGGGGTTCGGGCCCTTTAGTAATGTTTAGTAAGCTAGAATACGTTACGCCACCATGAAGAGTCTAAAACTAATTGTCAAGCAGTTGTTGCCATTACCAAGATTTGCTGCCCAACACTTGGCCGCCTCAAAGTTGGGTGTTTTCAAAACATACTCCCGATTTACTTTATCGTACACGGCCTGCGTTTGCACCATCTTAGTGTTGCTTCCGTGCGCGATCTCCGTTAAACAAAATGCACCCACCGTCTAAAATCGCAGCACGTCACCAACCCTGAATACATTCTACTACCAAGACTAACCTTTCCAACTGCCTGTTCTTCTAAAAACTTGATATGCCTTTCCGTTCCCATACTAGCAATCGCACTTCCAAACATTGAATTAAAGATTTCTTCTTGGACACCTGCATCCTTGCCCGCGTGGTCACTAAATCTCATCCGTGCCTCTCGAGACGCATTGAAATTCTGCTCGTTTGTGATCGTCTTTCTAAAGTCCATATATTTGAAAGCCTTTTGTACGGATCGGCGATGCAATTCGTCCCGAGCTAATGTTTCGCCTGGCGATAGGAAGAACACTGGATGCTTCCTTACTTCGTCAAGCAACAACCCCTGAAAGCTCTCGTTCGCAAAGCTATCTGATTAGGTAATCGCATCTCTGACCTGATGTTTTATGGTATCCTCCCCAAAGAGGAATGCCCGCATCACTGCGTAATTAAACGAGCTCGTTTTAGCCATGTCGCAAATCATTAATAAAACACTTTTCTGAACTTTGTATTCGTATGTTCGAAAGATAAGCGTTGTTATCATTTGTGGTGTTAGGCTATTATTTATTGTGAACATGCGAACTGAATCGCCGTTGTGCAATATGTGATTATCATGCCTATCGGGTCCCGAAGGAGGTCCTTCCAATCAGAACTTTCACTTGTAATTGGTATTTTATTGTTGAGTTGTTCGCTGATGATGACAGTCTTGCTGTCGAAACGCGGTCGAAGTTTTAATATATTATTGTGGTTTATTGGTGATTTCAACAGCCACAAGTAGTTCCGGTGCGTTTGCGTTTTTTCAGTTTAAAGTAATTGCTTTCTACTTATGGTTTGGAGGAAAATTTGTGTATATGTAACAAAATTCATATTGTATTGTTAACGTGCTAATGTATCATGTGGTATGTGGTCTTAGGTCGAAGTACGGACAGTTATTTTTATCCTGGAATGTGAGATAAGATGTGGCTTAAACCAGGGCGAGTGCAATGCAAAAAAGAGAGACGTTCATCGCTTGATGTATGAATTTCAAATGTTTAATTTAGCGATATGGATTTGTTTTACGCGACGGGTTCTTTATTTGAGAAGCAATTGGTAAGTGAAGTTGAGTGCCAAACTAAACAAATAAAGTGGTAATAATTTGAGGTCATCTGCATTATAATAATGATTGTGAAAGCATAAAAAAGTACTACGGAATTAAGCAAACGGCAAATATGGGCACCTGACAACTTTCCATTCGGTAATGGTCACCAAAAAGTTACAGCGTATTGTATAAAGTGGCAGAGAGTTTGTTTCCCTTTGCTTGCGCTTTCTATATGTATGAAGCTTTGGATTTATCAGTATGAAGATTGAACCATCTACAGGAATCAGCGGTGCAGTACCATCGAACCCATCCCAGGCGTCATCAAGTGATATCCTGAAATCCTACCCAGTAAGGCTTTGGTATCAACCTGAGAGACATTCCAAGGAAATAAAGTACAGAGTTTTATCTTTCCTATTTCCGTTTTGTGCAAATTATCGGTGATATAGACTAAAAACGCGTAAAACTTCTTCGTGTGTCCCACATGGGCTTTTGGGGGTTGTGAGAGTTTACAATATATTTATCATGACATCACCTTTTGGCAATCCTTATAGCATTCCCATACTCCCACTGAAATTGTTTAAACTTTTTGGCATTTTCAGGATAAACAAGCGTCAAGCAATTGTTTCCACGTGTGTTACCATTCAAAGTGCTGCTATACCGCGGTAATTGCAAAGAAAAAAAACGGCGGAAAACATTATATCTTTTGCCAGACGAGTACGATGAATTTGGTTATATCTGAAAAATCAAGCATCCGTAGCATCCGAAGAACTTAAAATGATTATCAAAAACAATTCGTAAGAACGAAGAAACTGAAGGATCGTAAAAGTTTAACCTAAAGAATTTGAAGGAATGGACGAAAAACGGAGCGGGTACGTAGAATCGGGAGAACCAGAATTATTTCGAGACGAAAAACTATTGAGGAACCTAATGAATGGAAATATGAGACATTTCTGGTACCTACTTATCCGAAGAAAGTCCAGAGAAAATGAATCCAAGTAATAGGAAAAAACCGAAGGATCGTAAGAATTCAAATAATCTGATACTGTTAGTGGGTATTCTTAATCTAAAGAAATCAAAGAACCCCCAGGTCTGCAGAATGCCATGAATCTGAAGAATCTTACGAATTCAAATAATTTGGAAGAATGAGGAGAATCCGACGACTCTGAAAAACCTGGAGAAATGGACCTAAAATTTGAAGACGATAGATTTCAAAAAAGACCCGTAAATCTAAAGATAAGAAAGAATCCGAGGAGTGGCATCAGATAAACCCCAATGATTCCAGGAATTGTTCAAAGAATCTATGAAAGTTAAGGGATCTTACTGGTGAAGAATCTTACCCCAAGTTAAATTGATATTAGATTTTGGGTGAGATCTCTAATTCGTTACCTGTACTTCTTGATTCCGCTAATTAAACCATCTGATCCTCTTCCTTAACACTTTCGAGTTATTATAGTTGCCTCAATAATCCTTGATGTAATTTAAAATCTGCAATTGCTTCTGAATCTGACTGTAACCTTCCTCTTTTAAACTATTGTTCGCATCTCCCACCCAAGCTTTCTCTTCCTCTTTTGTAAATTATTCGTTTCCCCTATCAAAATCACCCATTCATGTTTTTTTTTATCTTCCTCCTACACAAGGGTTGTGTCGCCTTTTTTCCTTGATGTATATCCGTTACTGTATTTCGACTCGGATTTGTTTAATTTCACCGACTCCCATACTTTCCCTTTAGCTTCGTTGGTCCATTTAGAATTTCACTCACCGGTCATACCTTCCATTATCCTCCTCTATGGTTTTTCTCAAATATTCAATGGGGTTTTGTAACGTGTTTGATTTAAATTCCAAATTTATATTCAATATTCAATATTTTCTTATAATATCTTACATGTAATTTAATAAAAAAGGTTTCAAGATTTAAGAGAGGAAGAAAATTTCATCTAAAGATATTGTAGAAGGGAAAGTGCCCATAACACTAGCGGCATTGTTTAGGTTAGATGTAAGTTAGTTCTGTGGTAGAGGTTGTTATTACACTAGTTTTTTATTTTCCCGCCAGAGATCGTCTAGAAGTTTCCGTGGTTAATATTTTCTTCTGCGTGCTCACTAAAACTATTTCCTGTACAGAACAGATTCGATTTCCGAAACCGATATCTACGATTTTTATTTCCGTTACTTGTGTCATTACGAAGAATTTGTTACTGCGGGTTTATTTACATTTTTAATTATTTAGATCATTATTGTTGTGTAGAAATTTCATCATTTGTGCTTCGTAAAGTAGTTTCCTTGAATTAAAGTTACGTTTATGCTTTTATAATCACGGATTTGCACAGACGATTCGTTGTCGATTAAAATTTTGCTTTTGTTTTGTTAACGTGAATCGAAATATTAATTCTTATTGAGTGTTAATTACGTTTTTAGTATTCAAGTTACCTGATTAGTGTCAAACGTTAGACATTGCTTTCGTAATATTTATGTGCCACGGTATTCACTCTTGTTTGGAAAGGCTGGGGTTAAGAGTTTTGAATCAATTTAAATTGATAATTTTTGAATATCTGGCATTATTTTTTTTATTTGTGGGGCAAGTTATTCAATTTTGGAGATAATTTTTCTTGACATTAATTGGAATAAACCAGTATTTCTTTCGTTAATTCGATTGCACTGTTATTTCCCAGTTTTATACAGGGATACTAAAATATTTAAAGAAGTTGGGTGGCGCTCAACCCTTTGGTAACTTGTAATGTAATACCGAAGATTATATACGCTAAACGAACCAATCGCTGCGGAAGATCTCAAGCCTTTCAATGTTATCACCCTGAACTAGCTGCCCTTTATGAAGCCGGTTTGAGCAGCGCCGGCCTAATCCTACAATTATTATATTTGTTTGAATAGTCATTTAACCGCTCAGGCACTTTGGTATTATTTGTAAGCGTTTGACAGTCTGAAAAGTCTAAAGATATGTTTCAAAACAGGTTGTTGTCATACCAAGATTTCCTGACCAACACTTGGCCGCCTCAAAGTTGGGTGTTTTCAAAACATACTCCCGATTTACTTTATCGTACACGGCCTGGGTTTGTACCATCTTAGTGTTGCTTCCGTGCGCGATCTCCGTTAAACAAAATGCACCCACCATCTAAAATAGCTGCACGTCACCAACCCTCAATATACATTCTACCCCCAAGACTAACCTTTCCAGCGGCCAGTTCTTCTAAAAACTTGACATGCCTTTCCGTTCCCATACTACCAATCGCACTTCCAAACATTGCATTAAAGATTCCTTCTTGGACACCTGCATCCTTGTCCGCGTATCCCATAAATCCCACCCATGCCTCTCGAAACGGATTGAAATTCTGCGTTGCAAACGTCTTCCTAAAGTCGGCATATTTGAACGCCTTTTGTACAGATCGGCGATGCAATTCGTCCTTAGCTAGTGTTTCGCCTGGCGATAGGAAAAAAACTGGTTGGTTCTTTAATTCACCAAGTAACAACTCCTGAAAGCTCTCGTTCACAAAACTATCTGGTTAGGTAATTGCATTTCTGACCTGCTGTTTTAGGGCATCCTCCCCAAAGAGGAATGCCCGCATTATCTCGTAATTGAACGAGCTCGTTTTAGCCATGTCACAAAGAATTAAGAAAAAACACTGTTCTGAACTTTGTATTCATATGTTCTAAAGATAAATGTTGTTATCGTTTGTTGCTTTACGCTGTGAACACAAACGGAACCGTTGTGCAAAGTATGATTATCATGCCACTCCAGTTCTAGCCCAATGGAGTTTTAGATATGCAACCATTCAAAAATTCTATTTGCGTTAACAATGATAATCAACTTATTGACTAGTACAGGAGAACTGTGATAAGAAAGTATCAGTATATGTCGGTGTTTCCTCAACAAAATCTCCACAACAACGGAGAATAATTGGAAATCCATGAAAACATTTCTACTTAGAGTTAGAGAGGTAAGCATTAACTTGGGGAGATTATTAAAAACTAACTTAATCTTGTAGCGTGAACTGTACAAGTAAAAGGCTTGCAAAGGGATCCTATTCTATACAATGTGGGAAATCAGCCCACTCATAGCGAAGCTACCCAGACATCAGTACGAAACTCCTTCAAATTTTGCGAATTGCCTGGTTCAGAATTTTTCCTCAAAGGAGGAGAGAAGGGCATCCGTGAGCATCGGCCTCCTGCAGAATCCTGGGATGTTGTTCCTCATATAATTCCCAATCTGTTGTCAAGGATTTCGGTATAAACGTTCGGTTTGTTTCTCAACCCTTAGCAGATCAGTCTGTGGTCTAAAATCGCACTATTCTGCCTGCTAGAAAGGAACAGAAAAGGGTAATATCCAGACCTTCTTTCCTGTTTCTGGTTGGGGCAGTTGAGCTTTCCCCGATTTTCATTGGAGGGTTCCATCAGAGGCTTCTTTGGACTTTGAAGGCCCACTCCTCGGTGCGTTTGATCTGATTGGTTTTTTGTCAGCCTTTCTCTGTCTACGATTGAGCATAATTTGACCGCTCTTGAAAGCCAGTCGCGAGTTCTTGTCTAGATAATTCTATGCTATTTTGGTTCGATTATAGTATATGTAAAAACCCTATGTATTCCCAGATTCCGAGTTTGCATAATGAGCCTATGATACCCTCATGTAGTCAATCTGTAGTGTGTAGTAATAATGTGAGCGGACCATGATGTGACTGATAATGTGAATCGCTTACTTTGATTAAATTTTGTTCGTCCGTATTGCCCATTTAGTGACTACCTTTTCCCAAATACGTTGCTCCGTTTTAATTCGAAGAATTCTTCGCATAAGTTTTGGAATAGTGTCGCTGATTTGGATGGCAAGCAATGAGGTAGGTACTGCTCGAAACCGTCTGAAAAGTGAAATCGAAGTAGAGAAAGAAGAAAGAAGAAATACGAATCGTTTTGGATTCTACGCACCAAAATTAATAAGAAAAAGTGTTTTCCCGAGAAATTTTGGTGCAGTCGATTTTTGGTAAAAAAGGAAGGTTGTACACTGCCTTTTTTTGAGGCACGAAGAAAACATTGTCTCAGATCTACCGGGAAAAAAGATTTTCTTATAAAATGTGGCCTGTAGAATCCACAATTTCAAACAGTTCCAAGATTGGGCTACTAGTTCAAAAGTTACAGCCCTTTGAATTTTCTTTCGAAATTGGTTTCTAGTCCATAACTTTTGATTGAGAAGTCTGATCGAAAAAGTACGAATTGTTTTGGATTCTACGCACCAAAATTAATAAGAAAAAGTGTTTTCCCGAGAAATTTTGGTGCAGTCGATTTTTGGTAAAAAAGGAAGGTTTATACACTGCCTTTTTTTGAGGCCGAAAAAAAAATTGTCTCAGATCGACCAGGAAAAAAGATTTTCTTATAGAATGTGGCCTGTAGAATCCATAATTTCAAACAGTTCCAAGATTGGGCTACTAGTTCAAAAGTTACAGCCCTTTGAATTTTCTTTCGAAATTGGTTTCTAGTCGATAACTTTTGATTGAGAAGTCTGATCGAAAAAGTACGAATTGTTTTGGATTCTACGCACCAAAATTAATAAGAAAAAGTGTTTGCCCGAGAAATTTTAGTGCAGTCGATTTTTGGTAAAAAAGGAAGGTTGTACACTGCCTTTTTTTGAGGCACAAAGAAAAAATTGTCTCAGATCGACCGGGAAAAAAGATTTTCTTATAGAATGTGGCCTGTAGAATCCACAGTTTCAAACAGTTCCAAGATTGGGCTACTAGTTCAAAAGTTACAGCCCTTGAATTTTCTTTCGAAATTGGTTTCTAGTCATAACATTTGATTGAGAAGTCTGATCGAAAAAGTACGAATTGTTTTGGATTCTACGCACCAAAATTAATAAGAAAAAGTGTTTTCCCGAGAAATTTTGGTACAGTCGATTTATGGTAAAAAAGGAATGTTGTACACTGCCTTTTTTTGAGGATCAAAGAAAACATTGTCTCAAATCGACCGGGAAAAAAGATTTTCTTATAGAATGTGACCTGTAGAATCCATAATTTCAAACAGTTCCAAGATTGGGCTACTAGTTCAAAAGTTACAGCCCTTTGAATTTTCTTTCGAAATTGGTTTCTAGTCGATAACTTTTGATTGAGAAGTCTGATCGAAAAAGTACGAATTGTTTTGGATTCTACGCACCAAAATTAATAAGAAAAAGTGTTTTCCCGAGAAATTTTGGTGTAGTCGATTTATGGTAAAAAAGGAAGGTTATACACTGCCTTTTTTTGAGCCCCGAAAAAAAAATTGTCTCAAATCGACCGGGAAAAAAAATTTTCTTATAGAATGTGGCCTGTAGAATCCATAATTTCAAACAGTTCCAAGATTGGGCTACTAGTTCAACAGTTACAGCCCTTTGAATTTTCTTTCGAAATTGGTTTCTAGTCTATAACTTTTGATTGAGAAGTCTGATCGAAAAAGTACGAATTGTTTTGGATTCTACGCACCAAAATTAATAAGAAAAAGTGTTTTCTCGAGAAATTTTAGTGCAGTCGATTTTTGGTAAAAAAGGAAGGTTTATCCACTGCCTTTTTTTGAGCCCGAAAAAAACATTGTCTCAGATCGACCCGGAAAAAAAAAATTTTCTTATAGAATGTGGCCTGTAGAATCCATAATTTCAAACAGTTCCAAGATTGGGCTTCTAGTTCAAAAGTTACAGCCCTTTGAATTTTCTTTCGAAATTGGTTTCTAGTCCATAACTTTTGATTGAGAAGTCTGATCGAAAAAGTACGAATTGTTTTGGATTCTATGCACCAAAATTAATAAGAAAAAGTGTTTTCCCGAGAAATTTTAGTGCAGTCGATTTTTGGTAAAAAAGGAAGGTTGTACACTGCCTTTTTTTGAGCCCCGAAACAAAAATTGTCTCAGATCGACCGGAAAAAAAGATTTTCTTATAGAATGGGGCCTGTAGAATCAAGATTGGGCCTCTAGTTCAAAAGTTACAGCCCTTTGAATTTCTTTCGAAATTGGTTTCTAGTCGATAACTTTTGATTGAGAAGTCTGATCGAAAAAGTACGAATTGTTTTGGATTCTACGCACCAAAATTAATAAGAAAAAGTGTTTTCCCGAGAAATTTTGGTGCAGTCCATTTTTGGTAGAAAAGGAAGGTTGTACACGGCCATAGTAAAGGCCTAAGAATAAGTGAAGTGAATAAGACTATAATCGGCTAAAGTTACAAGAAAGCAAAAGGGGAGTAGTAGTTTTCTACCGCAACGGTCGAATCTCAAAAGGTTACTTTTATTTTTAAAATATTTCGCTAGAATGGATACAGGATCCAAAATAGATCATTTGGGTGCTACAATCCAAAGGTCCCCATTTTTTCTTTTTCCCTTCTGTTATGGTTCCTAAGAAAAAATTCAAGAAAAAAAACAATTTTTGGATTTTATAGGTGTAACTCCCAAACGATTCATGTTCGACATTGTTAGTTTAAAAAAATTGCGCCCCTTACTTACTACCCCCCAATTGTTTTATTTGTTGTTGTGTACACTACGTTAGGCAGACGTTTTTGTGGTGTATGGGTATCATATTGATGGGACATCCTGTATTTGAACTTTTTAAAGTTAATTGTAGTCGCTAATTTAGATTGAACACAAGATTCGATTATAGTACCTATTTGAATTCAAGATCAATGTTTTTATTAGATTGTAACGATTTATTCTCTCCATTGGTAGCATTATTGTTCACGGTTTATTAATTGTCGGAGAACCCCCGTAACATCGAAAGGAAGCGGTCAAATAGGTACTTATCGAAGCAAATTTCATCATGGGAACAATTATTGATCGTATTTGATTTCGTTGAACCTTTTGTTAATAAACTTGATATGCCTTTCCGTTCCCATACTATCGTTTTGTACAGATCGGTGGATGCAATTGGTCTTGAGCTAGTGTTTCGCCTGGTGATAGGAAGAAAACTGGATTCTTCTTGACTTCATCAAGTAACAACCCCTGAAAGCTAGGTAATCGCATCTCTGACCTGTTGCTTTATGGCATCCTCCCCATAGAGGAATGCCCGTATGATTTCGTAATTAAACGGGCTCGTTTTTGCTTCAGAAAACACTTTTCTGAACTTTGTATACATGTTCTACAGATAAACGTTGGTTATCGTTTGTTGTGTTACGCTGTTATTTATTGTGAACATAAACTTAAACGGAGCCGTTGAGCAATTTGTGATAACCTATCATGCCTCTCGACTTTTACCCCAATGGACTTTTAGATTCATTCAAAATTGCTATTGGCGTTAAAGTCATTATTGCCTGATACAGCAGAACGGCGATTAAAAAAGTATCAGTATCAGTCGGCGTTTACTGAGCAAAATGTCCGAAACAACGGAGAATAGACCGTTTAATTGGAAATCCATGACAAAATTCCTACTTCAAAGTGGTGACGTAGAGCTAGAGGTAAGCATGGACTTGGGGGAGATAAAAACTCACTTAATTTTGTAGCGTGAACTGTACAAAGGCTTGCAAAAGGATCCTATTCTATACCCTGTGGGAAATCGGCCCACTCATGACGAAGCTACCCAAATATCAGTGCGAAACTCTTTCAAATTGTGCGAATTGCGAAAATTGTTCTCGGATCGAATAACTTTTACTGCCTTGTTCAAACTTACGAGTCATGTTTCGGTGGGGGCCGGTATACAAGATGGTATCTCCAGCGCGCTGTTTGTCGGTGCTTTAAATAGCGTTGGAACTGACCGCCATTTGAAGTACGTTGAACTGGAGAAGAGAGGAGAGGTACGATCAGTTGAAGCTCGTTCAGTTAGCGACTGCGCTATTTACAGATCATTGGAGCGTATTGCTTAACAGAGATAGGTCATGGAAGTGATACTAGATCGATGAGAACGGAAGCCGTGTACGATAAAGAGAGTCGCGGGTTTGTCTTGAACACACCCAATTTTGAAGCTGCCAAGTGTTGGTCTGGGAACGTAGGTATGGACCATTTCATTTCATTTCTTATATCGTCTCGCAGAATCTTTCCCAAAGTGCTCTTTTTGCCTTCCGAATCTTAGGGAACCACGTTGTGTACTCATCCCAGCACCCAGAGCATCCTGAGCTTTCCTAGCTCACTCTATTCCACCAAGGAGTGCTTCTATTTGTCTTAAACCGCTTCAGCGGATAGCTCCCCTCAAAGGTGAAGAGAAAAGCATCAGTGAGCAGTCGTTCCAGATCAACCTGATCCATCGCCCTCCTGAGGTGTTACTCTTGGTACAGTGCTCAATCTATTGTACGAGGATCGGTAGAACGTTCGGTTTGTTTCTCAACCTTTACACTGTAGCATATTTGTCTGATAGAAAGGGCACGTTAGAGACCCTCCGTCCCACTGTTCTACCAGCTAGAAAGGAGGAGGAAAAGGTAATATCCTGGATTTGTTTCCGGTTTCTGGATACAAATGTTGACTCGTTGCCCTGATTGAGTATCTCTAGTTCCTCTCACAATAGAAAACCTAAAAGGTACTCACCTATACGCGTTTGTGTCCGTGCGGCCCCCGTGGAGGCGATGGGAGGGCGTCACATCCTATAAGATTGCAGTATCTCCTCAGCCTCCGTACCTGCACTGCTGCCTCGTTCTCCCCCGGAAAGTATGCCGAAACACACTCTATTTTAATAAACACAGGTGCTCATAGGCGTTCCAACCCACAACAGCCACCAGGTCTTTTGTTATGCAACCTGAATGAGGGAAGGATATTAGTTTCGGCTTTACGAAAACCTAAGTCCTGGGGCAATTGTTGCCCCTCGGGTAAATCAGGTGTGTGCCTGAAGAATTACAATAACCCTTGATAAGAAAGTGATTTTCCCATGATTCCTGTATAGGGGCCACGTCTAGATTTTATTTGGTGACCCTTGTGCGCAGTGCGCTGGTGGCCGCTTTCTCCCTGTGTAGGTTCACTGCATCTCGGTACCCAAAGCTCGCTGACTAGCGACCAAGTAGTGCTCGGCGGAAGCTGTTGCACCTTGACGTGGATTTGATTTGCCTTACTGTCATTCGCCAATCGCAGAGTTCCATTAGTAGTGTTGAGATTGTGACCAGGGGGCACCACTGGGAGGATGACAGAGTACTAACCAGCGCCGAAAAGGGTTTTTATTTCGGATTATGGTGGTCAGGACCAATGCTGCCGAACCTTTCTCTCTGGGTTACTGGGAGCACCATACCGGCTCGTCTTAAAAATCTGTAATTGATCTTAAAATTCAACTTAATTAAAGAGCTTCTTTCGATACCCCACACGCCTATGTAGAATGAAGTTTACTGCAACACATTTATTTAGCTGTTAATTTCGCTTACTTAATTAGCCGGATTGAAATTTCTAAAATCGGTAGTCCAGTAAGGCTCATTGTTTATTGAAATTCGTCAGGTCGTCATAAAGGTCGCTTATCAAAGGCAGAAACTATAGGTGCTTCGTTACACACCAAACGTCTTCTTTTTGCATTAATTAATTTAAATTGTGCCACAATACGGACTTAGCGGCAATTAACAAATTTGATTTTATTAACATTTTTGTTTTACAGGGCGAATCGCAACACATGCAGTTGTCTACGCTCAACTTATAATACCTGACGACGGTAATTACGGTTTGCAGCCCTTCGTTGTCCAAATCAGAGACACGCGCACACTTCTACCACGTCCAGGAGTAACAATAGCGCACTTGGGGGAAAAAGTTGGATTGAACGGAGTTGACAATGGGTAAATGTTCCCTTGTGTCCCATTTATTAACGTTACATTTCAGAGTGATAATTTTCAACAACTTTCGTATTCCAAAAGAGAATCTACTCAATAGACTAGGGGACATTAATGACGAAGGGAATTACGTTCTGGAAGTTGCGGATACGCGCAAACAGTACGCAATCGCTTTGAGCGTGCTGTTCGGGGCTAGAATTTCAGTTGTGATCCTTACCGTCGCCAATTTAACTCACGCCTTAGTAATTGCTGTGAGATGCCTGTTCAATCAAAATCGAACGGGACATCCTCGTATAAGGACCCTAATGCCGCACTTGGCTATCGCTTACGTGGGCACCATTTTTTCGCCACTGGTCCTCCAACTTAGGACACAACTGGCGAACGTTCTTGAAAAGGACGATGATAGTTCCACCAAAATGCTTTCCGAGATGCATGCTATCGCAACGGCGGCAAAGTCGATATCCAGCTGGCAATCGCGTGATGGTGTTAAAGAATGCGTTGAAGCTTGCAGCTCATTAGCGTATTATAGAGGTACTACTTCAAATGTGATAAAACCCATCTATTGACTGTTCCAGATTCTGATTTGGTAAGATTGAAAAGCGATAACGAAGCGAACTGCACGTATGACGGTGAGAACCACGTTTTAATACAGCAAACCTCGAACTGGTTAATGAAACTCTGGCCAGAAGTCGCGAAGGGCACTATAGTAGAGTTTCCACTGGGATCTGTTTCATTTTTGAACAAAGAAGTATTGAACACGACATTTCACGTGTCCAATATGCAACAGTTTATGGATCTCAACAGTCAGCCCTTTCGATTTTTTCTTGCCCGAAACTATAACCAATTTTTTAGACATTTTGGGGTACTATCGATGGCTGATCACTTACTTATTGAAGAAAAGCCATGACAAGCACGTTCGCCTCTTAGAAAACGACCAATTTTCGAGAAAAAACGAAAACCAAGTCTATTATCGCAAAAGCCTGTCTGTCGCTTACTTTGAGGTTTAATAACAATGAAACTGAAGCGATATTCTAAGTCAACTTTTCAGCATTTCACCATTCAGATTGTAAGTTTAAAGGTGAAAGAAGCCGCAGATGATGAAATTAGGATTGTATTAACAAAGCTTCTCAGTCTGTACGGAATTTGGAATTTGCAAAAGTTTGTGCCTTATTTTTATGAAGGCGGCTACGTACACGGTTCTTTATTTGCCGAGTATATAGAGGACTCTATTTTGTTACTAAACCACGAGCTGGAAAAGGACGCTCTTTCGTTAGTCAACGCCATCGCTTCACCTGATGTCTTTGGATGGTCAGCTGTGGGTTATTCCGGTGGTCAAGTATGTCTTATAAACCGTAACTTTAACACCTACAATTGTTTCCTTCCCTGTTATAGATATACGAACGCTTAGAATCAGCAATACTGCAACAGTTGGGGGTATTCTCAACACCTGCCTGGATATCAGAAATAAAGAACTTAAAATCAAAACTCTAACAGGACTATTTCATGCTCCGATAGCTTAATATTAATAATAAAACGTACCTACACTACAGTACAATTTCACTATGTTTCATGTGAGTTCTGAGCAGTCGATTACTTTTATTGTACTATTTCGATCATATCTTCAAGGTTCAATGTTACATTGTAGTTTATTTTCTGTTCTTAAGAGTCTTCTGTACCCACTGCACCCAATGTAAATTTCCATAAGAGCGCCCGCCATAAAAACTCTAGTTGTTTTAAAAAAAAAAATTTTTTTAAGAACTATCTTATAAATTTAGACCTTTATCTACAAAATGTTCGGACTATTTTTTTTAAAAAGTGTATAGCAAATGAATATTGATTGTTTAAAGATTAGCTGTTTTGCGCCGATTATTGCGCTAATCTGTTTCATTTTTTTACTCGCGATCAAGACGATTTATGGAAAAAATAAACCGACAGTTTTTTAGATAAGTTCCTTCTAAACATTACCCCAAAAAATGAAATCATATTTTTTTGTAAATAAAGTCTGTATCTTGGCGGGCGGTAAATCAACAATTTCAGTGTAACAAGTGGCGCCGCTGCTCGGTGTCGGCGGAAACTCACTAAGGACCAAGACAGGAGTTGACAAAGCAAAAATACCATCTTGTCTCTTGCAACTATAATCGTCTATATACTATAATGTAAAAAAGTTGCGCTTGGGTAAAGAAGACTCTTAATGTTGTAAATAAATCTGAAAATTGTTTTTTTTTCTTAATTCTGTGTTTTTGCCTTTTTGAAGATTTTATGCATATTCCTACAGGGTATCTCTATTTAGAAATCTCAAATCGCCCAGAAAATTGAAAATCGTACTCATTTTATAAAAGTTATAGCCCTTCTTGTGCTTATTTCTTTCTTGCAATACGATTTTTACCTATAACTTTTGACGTTCTGAAGCGATCTTTCCCTATATCGGCGATTCTTTTAGATTTTCACCTGTAGAATCCAAATCTCCCAGAAAATTGAAAATCGTACACGTTTTATACAAGTTATAGCCCTTCCCGTGCTTTTTCTGTGTTGCTACGGTTTTTTACCTATAATTTTTGATGAGCCGAAGCGATTTTCACATATATAGGTGATTCTTTTCGATTTTCCTCTACAGAATCCAAATCGTCCAAAAAATAGAAAAGCATATTCATTTTGTAAAAGTTATAGCCCTTCCTGTGCTTTTTTCTTTATTGCAATACGATTTGTTACCTATAACTTTTGACGCGCCGAAGAGATCTTCACCGCCTTTCATATTCATATTTATTTATTTTTTTCCTTTTTGATTAAGTGTATAGGTAATATTGGAAACGTCATTTTAAATTTTACGCGACTTGAAAAATACATACAAACTACAGAATTGACTACAACCAGACTAACAGTAACGAGTAACACGCATTTACATATAACACACAGAAAAACGTAATTAGGTTTTGCAGAGGTATTCGTTGACACTATAGAACGGATTATCAAGAAAGAACATTTTAACCTTAGACATAAAGGAGGCCTGATTGCATTTCAGGAGATCAATAGGGAGGCTGTTGAAAAGTTTAATGCACATGTAGAGTTCTCGAACAGGGTGGTATTATGTCGAGGGACGGTGAGCTTAGAACCGAAACGAGTCTTCCTGTCACAGCTGCGGATCTCTTCGTTCGTTGTAAACTGATATGTACGAAAGCGTGGAAGGGCCGTAAAGGAAATATTTTTTACTTTTCCTGCAATTGTTAGTTTTTTTCTAGGAATTGCTAGTTTTTTCTTGCAATTGTTAGTTTTTCTTTGCAATTGTTAGTTTTTTCTTGCAATTGCTACTTTGTTCCTGCAATTGTTAGTTTTTCTTTGCAATTGCTAGTTTTTTCCTGCAATTGTTAGTTTTTCTTTGCAATTGTTAGTTTCTTCCTGCAATTGTTAGTTTTTCTTTGCAATTACTTTTTTTGCAATTGTTAGTTTTTACCTGCAATTGTTAGTTTTTTCTTGCAATAGCTAGGTTTTTCGAGTAATTGCTAGTTTCTTCTTGCAATTGCTAGTTTTTCTCTGCAATTGTTAGTTTTTTTCTTGCAATTCCTAGATTTTTCTTGCAGTTACTAGTTTTTGTTGCAATTGTTAGCTTTTTGTAGCAATTGTTCGTTTTTTCTTGCTATTAATCTGACAGAAACTGACACTTTCGTTTGTAGTCGCGAAGATACATTATTATATCTCGTTTAGTGTAAATGCGGTGTGTTACAAGTTGTGATGATCTAATTGTATGTACCGAACTACACATCCATATTTACTATAATTGACTGCTACTTAATGATGACTGTGTGCTGAGGTAAGTTCAAATACCTATAGCGTTACAGATTTACCATGTAACGGTTAACTACTTTCCTTTAGTGGTTTTCATGGTTAACTTTGAAATGAAAATTTATAATAATTCAAAAATCTTTTTTTTCAGTCAATCACAATTAATAATGGAAAGGGATAACCTTATCAGATCCTACTTTAGTCTCGGTTTGCATTATTCTGAAATCTTATCACTTCTGCTAATCCAGCACAATATCATACTCAGTGAAAGACAACTAAAAAGAATATTAAGGAGACTCAATTTAACAAGAAGGAAAAATTTTTCCAGTTTTGAGGAGATATTCCTATTTATAGAAGAACTATTAGAAGGATCAGGGCGCTTCCATGGATATAGATGGATTCACCTGAAATGTTTACAAAGGGGACTCGTGGTGAAACAAGAGACTGTGAGATTATTATTGAAAATTCTTGATCCCACTGGAGTATCAACAAGAAGACGAAGACGCCTTAGACGACGTGATTATTTTAATAAAGGTCCCAATTATTTGTGGCACATGGATGGGTATGATAAGCTAAAACCATACGGAATAGCCATCAGTGGATGCATAGATGGTTTCTCGCGTTATATAATTTGGTTGCAAGCAAGTTATACGAACAACAATCCACGTATTATATCAGGCTATTACATATCAGCGGTTGAATCATGTGGCGGGTGCCCAAGAAGTGTACGATCAGATCTAGGTACAGAAAACAGACATGTTGAACAGATGCAAATATTCCTAAGAAATAACTTGGAAAGTGACGATTCATTGCCTCCTTTCATTTATGGATCTAGTACCCATAATCAACGCATCGAAGCTTGGTGGGGAATATTAAGGAAACATAACGCTCAGTTTTGGATGGATATATTTGAAGATTTGAAAAATGAAGGTAAATTTAGTGGAACTATACTTGATAAAGCCTTGGTTCAATATTGCTTTCTGCATTTGGTACAGGTACGATTACTTAGAACAAGATGTATATACGTCCACTTATTAAATTTTTAGGGACAACTTGATCAAGTAGTACAAGAATGGAATTCCCATAAAATATCGTCGAGAAATCGGCGTTCACCTGTAGGGAAACCAATTATTATGTATTACACGCCCGAAATGTATTACGCTCGGGATTATATCGTGAAGTCTCCAGAAGACGCAATCTTGTCTTGTAGAGAAGAAAGCCTCTTTCCATTGGTTCACTGTGATCAGGATGTGTATGAACTTTGTCAGATTTTAAGTGAAGAAAATCATTATGAGAGACCTAGCACAGCATATGAGGCTACAGATCTCTACATACAATTAAGGAATGACATTTTAAGTATGTTATAAACTTTATTTGTCGAAAATCCATTTCCTTAAAGTTTAGTACCCGCAACAGATACGTTAACGTATATCTGTATTATTACTTACCTACTTTCTTTTCATGATTAAAATTCAAAATATTTTGTATATACCAATAAAATAAAGAATATAAGTTTGTGTTTTTAGAACAAAATTGCCTACTTGTTTACAAGACAAAATTACTTTATCAACTAGCAGTAAGATGGTTAATTTACATTTACATGTGGCGTATGGGTCTACTGTGCAAATCTCAAACCGAACCAGTTTAAGCGTTTGCTAGTTATCACGGTCCTAGACAGACAGACAGACACGGAGACCATCGACTCGCCCATAAATCTTGGATCGCTTTGCTCTGCCACTGAATAAATAAAACCTGACCGAAACCAGATGAATTATTATAAGCACAGCAGCATGATTTTTTTTATAAAAAACTTTCTAAATAAGAATTATATCCTTTTATCGACATCTGTAATATAATAAATACGTCTGCAGACAGAGAGTTATACGCGCGTCCAAAAGGCGAGGGTCAAATTAAAAACGCAGAAATTGCAAGATAAACAAAGAATTGCAAGAAAAAACTAAACAATTGTATAAAAAACTAACAATTGCAGGAAAAAACTAGCAATTGCAAGAAAAAAATAACAATTGCAAAAAAAACTGACAATTCCTAGAAAAAAAACTAACAATTGCAGGAACAAAGTAGCAATTGCAAGAAAAAACTAACAATTGCAAAGAAAAACTAACAATTGCAGGAAAAAACTAGAATTGCAAGAAAAAACTAGCAATTCCTAGAAAAAAACTAACAATTGCAGTAAAAGTAAAAAATATTTCCTTTACGGCCCTTCCACGCTTTCGTAGATATGAGTTGTCGAAAACGAATTGCACAAAGTTATAGATATATAGGGAGTACACAGTCATTATTTGCAAGCGTTATCTTACCTATATCGGCGATTCTTTTAGATTATCACCTGTAGAATCCAAATCTCCCAGAGAATTGAGAATAGTAACCATGGATCAAAAGCTATTGGTCTTTCTGTTTTTTTTAGCTTCCTACATCAAGCTAGCTGGCTATTGCGTAAACCGCTTTTTGGGCATGTTACAATTTCATCAAATGTCAACGTTTTAGATCATTAAGAAAATTCAAAGGGCTGTAACTAGTAGCCCAATCTTGGAACTGTTTAAAATTATGGATTCTACAGGCCGCATTCTATAAGACAATTTTTTTTCCGGGTCGATCTGAGACAATTTTTTTTTCGGGCCTCAAAAAAAGGCAGTGTATCACCTTCCTTTTTTCCAAAAATCGACTGCACCAACATTTCTCGGGAAAACACTTTTTCTTGTTAATTTTGGTGCGAGAATCCAAAACAATTCGTCATTTTTCGATCAGACTTCTCAATCAAAGTTATAGACTAGAAACCCATTTCGAAAGAAAATTCAAAGAGCTGTAACTTTTGAACTAGTAGCCCAATCTTGGAACTGTTTGAAATTATGGATTCTATAAGAAAAATTTTTTTCCGGGTCGATCTGAAACAATTTTGTTTTCGGGGCAAAAAAAGGCAGTCCCTTCTTTTTTACCAAAAGTCGACTGCACCAGAATTTCTCGGGAAAACACTTTTTCTTGTTAATTTCGGTGCGTAGAATCCAAAACAATTCGAACTTTTTCGATCAGACTTCTCAATCAAAAGTTATAGACTAGAAACCAATTTCGAAAGAAAATTCAAAGGGCTGTAACTTTTGAACTAGAAGCCCAATCTTGGAACTGTTTGAAATTATGGATTCTACAGGCCACATTCTATAAGAAAATTTTTTTCCGGGTCGATCTGAGACATTTTTTTTTAGGGGCTCAAAAAAAGGCAGTGTATAACCTTCCTTTTTTACCAAAAATCGACTACACCAAAATTTCTCGGGAAAACACTTTTTCTTATTATTTTTGGTGCGTAGAATCCAAAACAATTCGTACTTTTTCGATCAGACTTCTCAATCAAAAGTTATAGACTAGAAACCAATTTCGAAAAAAAATTCAAAGGGCTGTAACTTTGGAACTAGTAGCCCAATCTTGGAACTGTTTGAAATTATGGATTCTACAGGCCACATTCTATAAGAAAATGTTTTTCCGGGTCGATCTGAGACAATTTTTTTTTCGTACTTCAAAAAAAGGCAGTATACAACCTTCCTTTTTTACCAAAAATCGACTGCACCAAAATTTCTCGTGAAAACACTTTTTCTTGTTAATTTTGGTGCGTAGAATCCAAAACAATTCGTAATTTTACGATCAGACTTCTAATAATTAATATGAATATTGTTGCTTTGGATTTACCGAAAACAAACTTCTTAGCTCCTTAGCAATTAAGAATGGATTAAGATGACAGCCAGATCTTTATTTGTTTTATTAAGCTTTTTCGGTTCCATAAAACTAGGCGCCCTTGAAAAGCAATTTTTTCATTTAACAGTAGACATAGGGAAAACAATGCATGTATGATCACTGTATGTTGGTTAGTCCCCTCTTATGACATGCAGTAACCCTGTGGTAGGGCCATTTTTTAGGGTATGAAAAAATACAAAGATCTGCAAAACAAACCAAAAATAATTAAAATAAGAGCCATCTGGTTCATAGCACAGGTCAGAAAAATTCGAAACTCCAAAATTAAGGCCTTTATTCTACTACAGTAAGGTATAACAAAATAATATTAGGTGTTTATTATATGCATTATATAGATATAAAATAAGCCAACATGTATTAATAAACCACCACCTTTGCGTAGATCCTCTTATGTAGGTAGGTAAGTGTTTTATTGATTATCCTTTGCAAGGTACCTTTCAAGAAGTGCATCAGATCCTTCATCCACCTGAGATAACTCTCTAAATCCCTCATCTTCGACGAAACATATTTCGTGATCGTTTGGATCAGCCAAGATGATAACGCGAACGGTTTTTTTCCCCGGCGTATCCAAGTAGAGCAGAGGAGTTAAAATTTTGTTGTTCGACTTTCTGATTTTTTCATCGACTAAAAGTTGTTGTTCGAAAGGACAAGAGAATGCAATACGGCCGTATGCCTCTGCACGATCGATAGGTTCGTCTGAAAGTTTACTGTAAGTAAATGTCGAATGTCTACAATGTTTGTACCTATCTCGTGTAGTTCTAGTTTAGCTTCGTTAGCTTTAAAGCCGACTGTAGCCGACTTCTCCGACTTCTCGAAAACGGTCAAACCCAAAATTCCGTTCCAGTAATCTAAGGACTTGGCCAAACTCGAGCATGCTATGGTTACCTTTTCAATTGGATCTGAAATAATTAGAAATCGTAAATGTCGTATTAAAATTGCATGGTACCTCTGTCGGACGGTTGTGGCTCATCTTTAATAAAGAATTTATATCCCCCGGGAGCTTCAAGTACGTTTCCTGCCAGAATCGGCCAATTGGCAGCCTTCGCTCGTTCAAGTACCTCTTTACTCTTAATAGTGATTCCAATAAAATCGTTGCCCTTCTTGTACGACTTAATTGGGTAGTTATAAGTCAATTCGACAACAAAATGTTTATCCTCAGGACCATACCCAATCATAGATTTGCTCCAACGATTCGCATACGGGCTAAAAGATAACTTAACGTGTGTACGTATAGCATTGCAACACTTTGCATACCCGTTGCAGGCCGCCTCGCACCCCTCTGAGAATTCTTCGTGTCTTAATATCTTCATTCCCAACACATTTTTGTAGAAAAATGTTGACAGTTTTCGATTTGGATCTTTGAATACATAATGCAGCGCTCTTCCATTTATTCCTGCCATTTTCTGCGTATTATTGCGGCTTCAAGGTAGCAAAAGATTTGCGGTATTATAATTACAATTAGACCTTGAAATCTATACGTATTTTCCACAGTATTCAGAACAGGTTTTTAATTTAATTAAAAACAAGTCGGTGCAACTGCAGTCAATATTAAAATTGTGGAGGAAGGTTATGAACATGAACTGACAACTGACAAATGGCAGGATTCAGCATGCCCAGAGATCATTTTCAAATGTACAGGGTGTTCGAAGAAGGTTCATAGATCTTATAGCGTTTTCGATTGGCAAAACTCGTGCTGCACGAGAAACTGAAGAAATCCATGTGAAAATTGCTCTCAATGGAACATAAGTATTTGTAAATATTTGTTGTCATTTGTCCATAACCTCATTTTAGATTTAGATAATCGACAAATCTCTATTCTAAAAAATGACTGAAACGATTTCAGTATTATTTATGATAAACGAGGAACATAATTCCTGTAAAGGACCAATTTTTGGCGTTCAGTTTAATGACTAATTGCAACTTTTTGTAAAGTAGAAGATATGGCTAGTTCATTATCTTCGCTATCGCTAGATGACGACAAAAAATTCTCCAACGCAAGAAACAAATTCAAATTGTCGCACGTTTATTTTGAAAATTTGTTAACTAGTAGCTCCACGAGCTCTCGGACCTCGTGCGTCGAAATTTGCACCGAGTGCGTAATTGTTGCATCACATTTGCCAAAGGAACACAGAAAATTGCCCTAAAATTACCAATAGAACGTAAAAATTGCACTCGTGCAGCACGAGTGTTGCCAATCGAAAACGCTATTAGAATTTCCTCAAGCCGACATGAGCAAAAAAATAAATTACGCACACAAGGTAATACCAGGGGAAACCTTCTTCGGGACAAAAACCCCGTCATAGCCCACACAAATACATGAAATAAAGCAACTACTGCAACAAAATGCAAGAGAAAATATGCAAATAGAACATCTCAAATTGTACAATAGAAATCAAATAATCGAATCAAATACAGTTAAACAAATTCTTAAAAACATACAGAAGAGACATCATAAATGCAAGTGGAATGATCAATCTATTCAATATAAAAACAAATGACACAAATCTACGATCAATTTCGGCAAAACAACTCGTAAAATGATAAATTGCATGTACATACAAAAACATCCAATTAGCTTGGCTTTACTCCAGCCTCGATTGCCATAGATTCAGACAAAAAATATGTGAGAATGCCAGTAATGAGTATTCATGCCATCATCGCAGAAGCAAAACCTACACGAAGTTAATTAGAGGACCCCCTTCTTCTATGGTTTCCGCACAAGAACTGTAGCGGGCCACAAGTAAGAGAGCAACATTAACAAAGAAACATGAAATTAGAGGACCTCGCTTCTCGTATGGCTTACGCACCATCTGCAAGCGGCCGTTACTCAAATCCAGTTCCGCATTCGAAAACGGTCGGAATCTAAAACAGATGTCCTAATAAGGACCGATAAAGCTTCTGCACCATTATTGACAAGAGCATAAAAATTCTCAATTGATCTTTAAAAATCAGATTTGTGATGGTGAACATTGTGTATATTAATAATATGAAAATATAGAATTATAAAAAGCCAACAATAAAATTAATGTGATGTATCCATTGTAAATTAAAAAAAACTTAAAGCTTCGATTTCCAACTCTTAATGTCTTTCCACCAGTTCACTCTGGACATGGCGCCCGGAGTTTCGAACATGGCGTTTTGCAAGTGCTTGTATACCTAAAATGCAATTGCAATATTCGAGTTAAACGCTCGCCACTAATTTACCATTCCATCCGACTGACCCAAAACTGACTTAATCAAAAAGTCAGGGGGCGCGATCACGTCGACCAAAGCGACGGCGTCGTCCTTTAAATCTTTACATAAAGTTAAAATGGCGGTCTGTATAAAATTGATTAATCTCGAGTCCGAGGCGTATCCTCCCTGGTAAAAGATCGTCAAATATTTTTCCAACGTCCATACTCCGTACAAAGATACAATTTTGGTCAAAATATTCTTGATGTTTGCGTCTTGCGCGTTTAAGACAGTGAGATATACCCGTTGAATTATAAAGTGCTAAAACCAAATTGTTTCTTTTCGTGCCTACAAATCAAAACGATTCTTACCTGAATATACACAATTGCCAAATTCTTAAGGTAAAACACTTGGGATTCGTTTTTGGCCCAAAATGGATCTAATTTTTCAACCTTAGTTAAAGTTTCATATTTCTCGAAGGAAGCCCTCAAAAGGAAGCACACAAGCCACTGGTACATATCTAGAATATCTGCAAAACGAATTACTTTACAACCTATTGACTATTGGCCATACTTTTTGGTTCCATAACATCTTCAAACGAATTGAAGTTAAATTTTCTCCTTAGAATTTCTTGTGCGTTAGTTAAAAAATTCACAGACTTTAAAGGAAAATCAATTTTTTCTCCCTTCATAACTGCGGGCCAGAACTTTAGTAGCCAATTACTCGTTTGTTGAATCAAAATATGATTCTCCCCCTCATATGTGCAGTTAGCGTCATTATTGTTTCTAAGATCGCCTAATCCAGAAGCTGTAAAGTGAACCTTCGTGCAGGTGTTGGTGCAATTACTAATCTCACCTTTGAGATACCCGTGGCCAGCACAGGCCTCCCGACATTCCTGAACAGCATCACGCACCAACCAACCCGCCAGCGGTTTCCCACTGGATGATATCGCGTGTAATTCTAAACCCAAGTCGGCCGTATTGTCATTACCAGTCATGGCTTCTGTAATAAACTCGATTTGTACAGCTCCGAGGTAGTTCGAAAAAAGGTCCAAGACGTATGCCACAGACAAGTAGGGAATTAAACGATGTTGCTAAAAGAACACTATCACGGAGGAATTTCTAGTCGGTAACCTACATGACTTTGATACTCCAGTATCGAAATCTCCTCTTCCCCTTCCGGCCCGAACTGTTTCCTAATGGCAGCATAACGAATTGCGATGGTAAGCGCTTGCGAGGCGTACGCCGCGCAAATCCCAACAATCATCACTCTCCCAACCGACAACGCGCCCAACGAAGCACCATACCGCTTACTAGGATCCCGCAATCTAGCCACATACGTCCCGTCTTCAGCAACATCCGCCGTCTTATTTAACAACTGGGTCCTCGGTATACGATAATTGTTAAACATAACAAATCTACAACTGGCACATTACACAGTTATAACAAAGCGCGTCTACTAATACCCATTGTCGACGCCATTTAACCCAATTTTTTCTCCCATATCCCCGACAATTACTCCCGGATATGGGAGGTATGTGTTAGGATCGCGTACATTGACTAGAAATGGGTGTAAGGAATGGTTAACTCCATCGGGAGTTATTAGTTGGGCGTAAACAACCGTATGGGTAGCAGTTTGACCTGAAACAAAATCGTTATTGAGGCACTTTGTGATAAGAAAGGAGGAAAAGAGGCATAATTTGTTTAAACTGTGTCCTGTGTCCTATTTTGATTGAGGCTCCAGTGTATCTCAGCCCTTTTTAAAGATAGAGACATACAGTTTTCGCGACCCTGTGCCACTTTTTTGTGAAACTTTTAATACCACAAACAGAATCAATCAAAGTTTGAGATACAGGGTGAAAACGAAAAGTTTGACTTTTTGGGACGAAATCATTTCTTATTACCCATGTATGACAGAAAAATGGTAAAGACTGTCTATTTTAGCTATGTTGACGCAGAATCCAGTGGCGTAATAAACAAAATGTTAGGCCACCCTTTGAGAGATTTGAAGTTGGTATTTTTTAAATGTAACCCCCTGTATAATTTAACATTAGTTTTTTTTTGTATTCTTGTTCCTGATTACATTCATGTATCGCAATAATTTTAGCCATGAAAATAAAACAAATTATTTTTTACTGTTTTTAAATAGTAGGCCACGGATCCATGGAGATTTTGCTTTGTTTATTGTATCCATGGTAACTAATGCAATCGATACCGATTTAAAAAATGTCTACTTAACGGTAGAAACATTTCATTTCATACCCCCCAGGTCTAACGCGGAGGGGAGCCACAGAGATAAATAACATTCACAAGTAGGCCACCCGTAAAAAAAGGTTGAGAAACACTGGTCTAGCTAGTCAGTGATAAAAATAAAGTACAATTTCTTTAGACAATATTTTTTTATCAAATTCAGTTGATATGTCCGGGTTTATAATCCCTAAATCCGGGGTTTTCAAGCTTCCTGTCCTAGTTGGCAGAGTTTTGAGATGGCAACCCTAGTTGTAGCATGTAAAAGTTATGCACGTCTTCCATTCAAAAACAACATCTCAGGAAATAATTCATGCCCCCCCTTGAAACAGCGAAATTTAATAACTTTCTGGCACACCTTCAAGGTATAGGCTACATACTGCAAAAAGGTCCAGCAGTCTAGGACCATTCCCCTAAAAAGTAGTTCAAAACCGCAGATGGGTACAGACGGACGAACAAAACGCAAACAATAGCACATTTAATTCTTATAAAAAATGGCGATTATCTTTAGTTGATATTGTGTACTTTGCGCATGAACACATCTGATGTATACAATATGCCACATACATCTTTACTAGAAGCATCTGGGGTTAAAATTTCAAAGAAATATCTCCATAAATAAAAAAGTTGACAACTGCGCATGCGCAGATTAATTCAAGATTTTTCTTTGTTGAGGTGCCCAAGCTATTACCTCCCGAATGCAAAAAGAACAAACTAAATATCTTGAGAACTGTAGGGGTAGTTAAGGGCCTCGGACGGATGGACAAAGAAAGTGGCAATAATAGCACCTTCCAACATGCGCTAAAAAGTTGACGTTACACAGTTTACGCATGCGCGCATCTGATTTTTACAATATATGATATGCTTGTCTTTAGTAGAAGTATGTGGTTATAATTTCAAAAAAATATTTCTATAATCAAGAAAGTTGGCATGACTTCCAACATGAATTAGAAAATGCGCCTTCCTACAAATGATCTATATTACCCTATAAACAAAAAATATCAATATTGCGTGGTCTTTCATATAAAAAAGGATAGGTCCGCAAATTTGACATAAGTTGTGCAGATTTTTGTAAGAGTCTACTCCATATAAGCCTTAAGTAAACGTAGTGGAAACCAACCAATTCGAATTAGGGGTGTTTGGACACCAACTGTATC